GCACTCAGCATTGCTGTTAGAATAAAAGACTGTGTTAATGAAGTCGGAGATGCCCTGTAGCAGCAGGTTAAACCCCCAAATTCTCCCAGGGTGTTTTCACTGAGTAAAAGAAAAACAGTTACTTCCACCTCTGTTGTGAGGAAAGAATTTTAATTTATTCTCTGCACTTGAGTCATGGTGAAGTGCTCCTTACTGCTCCTCCACGCCTCAACTGAAATGCTCAGCCTAATTTTAAAGTGTCATGTTGTTCTGTGCCTCATTTGTTACTGATGTTGATGCTGTTGCTTTGGTGGTTTTAAAGCTCTGCGTGCCAATTTAAACTTGATAGACTGGCATCAGGCATGGCTAAGTGTTGAAGCGAAAAGAGCTGAGGCAAAGGTGGAGAAAACAAGGGTGTGAACATTGAATGAAGGGAGGAGAAAGAAGCTGTGTGTGTGAGAGAGAGAGAGAGAGAGAAGGCACTTTCATTGAGTAATGAGTAAGCGCCGTCTGATCTCTGACATGTCGTCTCTCCGCTTTGCGCTATGACTCAAGTGCTTTCTGCTTTTTTTATTACTGCTTTGACGTGCAAGAGTTTGAATGCAGGAGATAAGGGGGAGAAAAGTCGATCTGTGACTGACGGTAAAGAATGGATTTGTTTAGAAATGTTGCCGTGACTGAGATATGAGAAAACAATGGAGAATTACATAACAGTGTATTATAATGTTTGCTGTAACCATACAGCACTGGATTATACTAGATTTTAAGTAGCGTAGTCAAATGCTGATAGAGAATTTAAAGAGATTTTCCAAGAAAAATATGTTTTTAAATGAATTATAAATTAATGTATTTATTTCATCATGACTGGTGAGACATCTTTCCTGGCTGCTCTCTGACCTGCTGAAATGGATTCTAACGCCTTGCTGCCAGGGTTTTCCCATTGCTTAGGAGTTGTTGGACTAAACCCGTAACACACTGTGTTGCCTTCAAACACCGATCTCAGCGCAGAGCTGCAGCCCCACATAAGGCATCCTGGGTTAGAGAGCATAAGTGGATAGCAGCTCTCAGATCTACGCCTAAGGGCAATGAGCGTCTAAGATCTACAGCCTCAGGGTGCAACGCTAAGCCAATATAAGCTCCACCATCTGCTGGCATTGGCTCTGGGCTTCTGAACGATGGAGTTAGGAAGTCAGTGAGATATCTCTGTCACGTTGTTGTCTTTCCTGTCTGGCTTTCAGCTTCAGCTTCCAGATGGACATGAAGATCCTGATGTTACTTTAAACCATTGAATCCTAAAAGGTCATGGCATTCCCTGGTGCGGCAAAGCCAAAGAACAAGTACAGACTAGCTGGACTTTGACAACTCTACTCAGAGTGATTGTCAGCTCAAGCTACAGTAGCCAATAAAAAGATTGGTATGAGGTTTCAGGTGGTTAGGTTCAGGCTTTTTAGTTTTTCACTACATTAGAGGACATGGGGTTAAAATTATTATTCAATGTAGGGAATAACCCTGGGAATTCTAGGACTTAAGTGGTCTACTTTATATACAAATAACTTCCTCTACTGCAAGGACGCTGCAGGTGTGGTGCATGCACCTGTGTTATTTTAGTTAACAAATAAATGCAAGCTATATTGTTCTAGTCGTTTGATATTGATTAAACATGCTGCCTCTATAAGAAAGCTTGTTGCATTTTGGGTTTTTTTTTTTTCTGAAGATGTTATTAATGGGGGTGCGTCAACATTGTTGGCTGTAGAAGGGGTGCACAGCCAAAAATAGTTTAGGAACTGCTGCTCTACTGTATACAGTGTCTTATTATTTACCATAATAGACCTTTTAATAGATTTGGCTTTAAATTACATAATGAACATAATAATTCACATTAATAATAATGTATAGATAGTGCTGTCCGTAATTTGATATGATTTTTTTTATTTAAATTGCAAAATAATGGCAGTTACATTATGTGTATTGGCTATTAAAGCTCTCGAACAGTTAATGGTTTCAAGAATAGAAAAATACACTCATACTCTTTTTGTGAACTGTTAGAGCACCGTTGTCAGTACATTTTCATCCACTAGTGTGATTTCACACATGTCTGAAGGGTTTTCATTTTTATTGTGGGAAGTATCCTAATCAAAGAAACATCGGTTCACCTAAAAACAAATCCAAAAGCGGAACAATGTTAGTAAAGGTTGATTTTCAATTCTTTGCTGATGCTGAGACTAGGACAAGTGATTTCACATTTTCACATTTAATTAATTTATTTTATTTATTCAGGCTCCAATCTAATGCCTTTTGTCATTTCATTTGTCTCTCTCTGTTCCATCATTTGAATCTTAATAGAAGTCAGTTTTACCACATTTATTGCAGATTTGTTGAAGCGTGTCGGCTGATGAGTAAAACCAACTGAGCAACGCTGCGGCTTCCACCGCTGTGTCACATTACAAAAGCTCATCGATCCATTGGCCCAAGGTTCTGAGTCTGTGTCTGTTGTCCCTCCACATGACAAAACAAACTCAGAGATGTGTGAAAAGCAACACTGCAATAACCTACTGCCCAGGATACAGGCGAGGGGTCAATGATGGTGGTCTCCACAGGCACTGCTATTATTCTGACATTGTTATCAAGGCGTGGCTGTATAATGCTATTGATTTAGGCGGAGGGAGATGAAGAGAAGAAGATCAATTTGTGGTTTTTTTAGATGTTTTGCAAACTCTGGTGAGTAATCTAAGGTTTTATTTGTTTTTCTTTTTTTTACAGTTTTAACAGTTCATTGTTGTTTCAGTTAATCAGAACAAACTGAATCCATCCATTGATTCACTCATTACAGGTGTGGTTGTGTTACCGTGGCTGTAACATCGACTCTTCTCAGTAAAGCCTCATCAAAGTCTCAGGTTTTAAGCCTTTCTTGGCCCAGTCACATCCAGGTAAAACCTTGGACAAACCTGCTTTAGCTCAGGAACGTTCACATTTAGCCGTTTCCTCCTGGGTAACTTTACAGATGTGTGGAATAAAACGCAGAAACCCTCATTAGAAGACATTAGAGAGTTGGAGGTGGAGTGGTTAAGTCCGGGTCATGGAGAATGAATGTTAATGAGTGTTGTCACCTTGGCTCCACCTTCACAATCAAATGTTTTATCCAAATATTACGGTAGAACAGTTTTTCAGTTGCCACGATTTGCGATATGAAGTTTTACGGTTGTTACGTTTCATTTGTTTTAGGTTTTTGGTTTTGTTGTTGGCAGTTTGAAGTTACTAAAGAGGCTGCTGGCTTATGTGCTTGTGTTTTGTGGTGAACTGCTGAGTAAAGGTTCATTTACACAGAGTGGTTGCAAAGATACGTCTTTTGTTCCTTCTGCTAATGAACCGTCTGCTCTCAAAAACACAGACACTAGAGGAAGACTGATAGTTAGGCAAATAATCCGGTTAACTTTTCATGTGTGCGGGCAGATATATTCTCTTTAATGTGTTTATCATGACTTATGAGCTTCTCTATAGCAGCCATTAACATATGATTACCGTCACATGGCTAATGGGTTTGTCTGTTGTTTGTCTCATCTCCTCTTCCAAACCTCTTTACGTCACTGTACTTCCTCTCTCTGTTTGTATTCCCTCCCCTGTTTAAGCTCTTCTTCCTCCCTCTGTATTTTTACTTCATTTGCATGTCTGTATTTCCAGCTGTGCCCCCAGGTCTCCACGAGGGTCATTTGTTTATATCGCCCTTCATTATTACTTAATTCTGCCTTTATTATCGTCACATTGCTGTGCTTCCTCACACCTCCCCATATCCTTCCTTGGTCTTCCTGCCTTCACTGCCTTTTAAAAGGCCATTGACCACCTCTTCACCTCCTCCACTTTCCTGTTTTCTCATACAGAAATCAAACTATAATATTGAGCAAAGAATGGCGCTTGAAGCCAACGTAAATCACAATCACATCAGCCGGGGATTTTGCTGCAGGAGGTTTTCTCCACTGAAAGGTTAACTACACCATTTCTGTCCTTGGCACAGTATAACTGTTGCATCAATCCTACCATTTTCATCCCTTCCAGCATGGGAGGTGCAAGAAATGATAGCGTTATTATATTTAAAATGTTTCTATAAATTCTGATTGCCCAACATTCCTGAATTTCCCAAAGGGAACTCCCGAAGGTTTTTTAAAGTTCTATCTATCCATCTATCTATTGCAGAGGCACAGCTCAGTAAGGTCTAAAGTTTCAAATCACAAGCGAATCATATTTTTCTGTCATCGTAGTATCTCTGCAGAGAGACATTGGGAGATTGGCTAAGAGCAGGGACGCTGTTGTTGATGTGTAAGTGTTTGTTTTAGTCTGTAAATGATCCATCTGATGTAAGTTGTATTTTTAAGTGCATGCTGTACTACAATCTCAAAACCAATTCAAAACCAGTAAAGATTTTAAGACTTAGATGTGAGATTAAATAAAAACCGAGTGTTGAATCAAACCATTCTAACCCAGTCCATTGGTGCGTTGGTGTTTAATAGTAAACATGCTGTATCGTATTCTAGACTCTGGTCGATAATGAGTTTTCTTCACTGTTTTTTGTCTTTGCAATAACTGCGTGTTGTTTGGTTTTTTTTGTTGTTGTTTTTTTTGCCTCTGCCTTTTATTGTCTGTTCGTGCTCCCTCAACACGACTGCTTAACTGCAGTTTAGTACATTATAGGAATCAATAACACAAATAGCCTACTCACTTACTGCTTTTATGACTAAAACAAACCCCGGAGGGCAGTTTATTTAAGGAACTCTCAGGAGGCATTTTCAGATCTTTGTACATGAAAAGCCCTTTTAAACCACTGTCCTTCCTGAGCATCAGTGGTCAGTGGTCACTCTTACAATGACTTTCAAATTAGCAGAATGGTCTCAAATGGTGCATAAATGTCAATAATTATTCTAACGTCAGACATATGGTCCAGTTCCAAGGTTTTGACGTGCAGATGTGCTGTTTGTTTCGCAGGGCTGGTCAAACTCGGAGTCCACTGTGTCACATGCCAGAAAGTCGCCATAAAGATTGTCAACCGAGAGAAACTCAGTGAGTCGGTACTGATGAAGGTAAGGTTGGAACTTTTTATACTTACACATAAAATATATATTTTTTAGTCTAATTTAGTTCCTATTTTTTGGCACACGAAACAATACTGAGATCTAACATGGAATATTACTTTTTTTCTTACCAAATTATTTTTATTTGGTCATTTTATTTTACAAAGATTTGATATTATTTTCGTCCTAGGGCATCATCCACAATGAATTGACTGAATATAATATCACTGTGGATGAGCCACTTTTTGGATTAAATATATGTGTGTGAACATATAAATAAATGCAATCAACTGGTTTGTGATTATGGGATTTAAATATAAGTCATTAAATTAAAATAATTACTAAATCATTTCCATTTCCCTGCCATTCTTCAAACTGAGAGAGTCGGGTGTTTGGCAGTGCAAACAGTTGCCTCTAACAAATCCCAGAGTACCACAACAATGAAGCACAATGTTGTGAGAGTAGTACACATAACAGCCTTTTGCTAAGACCCCTCTGTATCTTCATCAGTTGACCACACATCCTGTTTCTAACGAAGACAGGTGGAGACGTTGCTGTCTAAAAATAGTGGTTTTTGCAGGAGAATTTCCGACTGTAATTGTTATGAGTTGGAAAGCAGGAAGCTGACAGATTTGCTCACGGTGCAGTTTCTCAGCCAATGACACATCCGTGTGTCTTTCACCTCCTTTGCAGCTGCATGACTAGGTTCTGTGTTCAGGTACTGCTGTCAGTACTTGATAGTTAGCACTGCCTGCATTAACTAGCACCTTGCTGTCTTGATTGTTTTTCTCCTATCACTGCCTCTCATATAACAGGTCAATGTGTGCTGTAATAATATCAGGAGGGACAGACTGGTCACTTCTGTTACGCCAGCATTGACAGATTTATTATTATCTATGACTACGCCAGTCTGTGGACTGGTTCTGTTATGTGAGCAGTAAAAAAAAGTACCTGTTACTGTTCCAAATCGGGGCATTTCACATTGTTCTGTCCTGCACCGGAAAATATAGAAAGAGATGCCAAACACTGAAAGAACCAAGAGTTTTGCTGAAGCTGCAGTTCAGAGCCAATTACTGACCCGTGTCATTGTCATTCTGCTAATATATTAAAGACTGTGTCTGAGTGTGTGTGTGAGTGAGAATATCCATTTAAAAGATCTAAGTAATGGGGCTTTAATTGATAAAGACCACATTTAATCACTTTAATTTGAATATGTTAAATTAAATTAATGTCACATTGACTGCAAGGACATCTGTTCTTTCCAAACTGGCAGCTCTATTAAGTATTTCTTAAATAATGTATAATATTAAATACATCATTTGTTTTTTGTGTGGGGGGTGGGGTCTGAAGTCATACAATTAAACAAAATAAATATTAAACCTAATGTTTGCCTTTTTGCAAAAGTAAAAATAATATTTTTTCTTCATAGTTTGGTCATGGTGATTCATCATCGTTAATTGGCTGCTGATAATCCCATGAGATATTCCCATTATTATTTCAATACTCCTTGCAAATTGGCCTTCAAAGTGTCAGCCATTAGCCAGCGTCATGTGGGGTCACATGACAGTATCATGTTCTGGGACACCAACCCCGATGTCAGACATCAGATTTTAACTGCCTACTTTTGCTGAACAGGATTGTTCTGACTTGAATCCAGCAGCCACTTCCCACATTCCCTTAGTGTCACCTCCACAGTTTTATGTATCAGGTCTGTGGCCTGTCTGTGTAGCTGTCAGACCCCGAGAGTGACTGGGCTGCACTCTCCAGCAAAGTCACACAGTCAAATGTCACCTTTTAATATGCTAATGTCATGGGCCTCCGTGGAACCATTAGGGAAGAAAATGAGTCTCCTGGACAGGTGTGTGTGTGTGTGTGGCTGCGATAGTGTGTGTGCATGCCAATATACAGTGTGATTTATACACTTTCATACAAATGTGTAAAAGAATATTCATATATATTTAAGCATGGTTTGATCCTCCATGACACACATCATCCCTCCGTGTCTTTCCTCCCCCTCTCTGGTTTTCAGAGACGGCGGGTCTGAGAAGACTGGCTGAATTAATTGTCTCTTTGGTGAAGAGGTCTGTCCTCCCCTCACAGTCTTGCATATCCACTGGTTATTACCGCTGTTGACCAGGCTGACACCACAGTCTATTAAATAGTAAATCTGTGTATGAAATTGAAGTCAGTTTGTAACAAGGAACCAAAGCTATGATGGCAGTTAAAAAGAGCGCACCTTGGATGGGAGGTGGTAGACTGTCATGTCCCAGACAATGAGGAAACCAGAAGAGGCGGCACATTATTTCTACCCATAACAGTATGTCAGCAGTCGTAGCTATGAGAGCAAAACAGAACGAGGTGTAGTGGAAAAAATAAATAAAACTCACTACCAACACTGTGTATGTGAGTGATGTCTGATGGGAGTAGTTAATGTTACTGAGACTCGGCCAGGCTTCCCTCAGTCTCTTTACTGCCATGTATTTTTGCTGTAAGTGAGACTTGGCCAAAAAATAAAAGTATCCTGGCCTAGTACCTGACTTCAGTGACAGATATGATATGAGAAAATTGTTGACACTTCCCAGACTAAGACAACACAGTCTGCCAGAAAATAACAGGCCATCCACAGAGTGAGGCGTGTCTTCACTTATCATAAAACAGTAGCTGAGAAGAATATCTATACATATATATGTGTGTGATATGTACTGTATATATATATGTATATATATATACATATATATATACATATACACACAAATATTTATGTGTGTGTGATATATATATATATATACATATACACACAAATATGTATGTGTGTGTGATATATATATATATATATACATATACACACATAACAGAACTATATATTATTCGTTGCTATATAATATACTAGTATACTTATGTACTGCCTGTTGACACAACAGTCAGTAAAACAAAAGTCATTGTGTGTCGGTTTTATTTGTATATATATAGTATATATCTTTATATATATTATATATTTTGAGAATTTCCTTTAGTTTGGCTTTTAGCCCTAAGTGATTATTAAAGATATGATGATGTTTCTGGTCGGGGTCAAACACACACTATATTTCCAGTGTGACTGTTGTACATGGCAAATGTCCAAGCCCCTGTTGCATTTAAGGCCCATGTCCATCCATGGTCGTATTGACATCGGTGTCATAGACAAATGGTTAACCCTAATGCAGTATACAACAGTCTGAGAGGGTTCTACATGGTACGAGTGGTACCACTGTTCTGCATCTGTCCTCACGTTGAGTGGACTGACTTTTTTTAGTCCGTATTTCAGTCTGCGGGAGTTGAACTGAGCTCAGTGTCTCCCTCTCAGTTAGTGAACTGGTGACGGCTGTTGCTCTTGGGATAAGAACGACTAATTAGTCGGAGTGTCCTCCTGAAGCAGCACAACGTCAAAGTCACTCCACTTTATCTCAGCATGAGGAAAAAGAAGAGAGGGAGATGAAGAACGAGTGGAGGACGAAGACATATGGAAGAGAAGTTCTCCCAAATGGACAAAGGTGCAAACACATCGTCAGTTCACGGGATGATAACCATATTGATTTCAACAGAACTGAAATGTTCCTCTACATGTCATGTTTGTTTTGTTTTTTTTTGTTTAAACTGAGCGTCTTAAATAAACAAAAGCATGTTACACAGACTGATGATGAGGGTGAGGGTGAGGGTGAGGGTGAGGGTGAGGGTGGGCGGGTGAGGAGCAGGAAGCCGTGGCCACAGATGAATCACTCAGAGTCTAATCTTGTTATTTCAACGCTCACATTCCAACTGCTTCTTTCTCCTCTCCTCTCTCCACTTCCCTCCTAATGATTATAGATTGACTATTTTCACCACTC